CCAAAAACTAATAGTAATACTTACCAAGAGTTCTTGAGGTAGAGATTCAAGTCCAGATTTAGAAACGGTTGCTCTGCTTCGTTGTCTCTTCAACGAACTGAGTTTATTCACCGGCGGCGATTCAGTTACCGGAATCTCAACGGCCGATCTAGACAGAGATTCGCGTACACTACTCGAAATCAAAATCCTTTTTCTCCCTAAACCTCGCGTGAATCTCACTGAACCTAACCCTAACTCTAATTCGTCTTCCTCGCCGTGAAATCCACCACCACCGACGTTTCGCTTCATCTTCATTAACGACATTGTTCCTCTACTAAGAAGCTTCTTCACAAACAGAGACTCAGAGATCCACTCAACTACTTTTGAAGCACTCGAGAACCAAAACTCACTGATGAAGTGAAGATAATTGATCATTTAGGTTACACAAAAAAAACGAAACACTGAGAAAAACAGAGAGATCTTGCAGAATATAAAGCTTGGATTCGAGATCGGACACGTGGCGGGTTGTGATTGGTTAGCCGTCATTGGCGTTTTGTGTTCCCGATCAGTCTAACTTATTATTAGCTTCTGTATCGGTTATTGTACACAGAGGGAGATAACGCGGTTTAATCGGGGGAGGGAAAATCATGAGCGTGCGGTGTGGTCCATGTGATAATCAGTGCACTTTCCATTGCCCGTTTGCCACGTGTCGGTCTAAGTAGTTTGAACGGTTCCGATTGACTGAGAAGATGTGGTGGAGTTTAAGTGCATATCCATGACACGTGTCCGTGGAGAAGTTTGAACGGTATCGGTTGACTGAGAAGATGTGGAGTATTATTGGTGGTTTTCAAAACAGAGGAATTTGAGTTGTATTTCATTGGATACCAAATTTGATTGTGTCACTTGGTGATAAAAGTATGAGATTTTCTTTTTTCTTTTTAATAAATGCACTAAAATTTAGAATATGCTCGCATTTTTTTGGATAAGATTATATGATTCTTTTAAAAAAACATTAGTGTAGGAAATATGTTTAGGTTTCTTCTTCTTGTGTGCCATTTTGGTGATTAGATTTGCTTTCAACGCCATTGTTGTTTTCAGCAACAGTGTTTTCTTCGGATGTAACGTAGAAACTCCAGAGAGATACACAGTTTTCATCAGCTGAAAGAGAAGAACGATTTTTTTTTTTTATGTCTTTTAGTTGAAAGAAATGAGGTTGAAACTCATAAGGATTTAGTGTAAATGTACCTTTCAATTCAAGATTGTTCTTGTCTTCTTCATCGTCATCATCGGGAATTGCAAATCGTCTGTGACCAGAGGAAGTAGCAGCCATAGGAAGATATGGGTGGAACGAAAAAGCATTGACGGTATCTGCAACATTCATTGTAAATGTTATGCTGAAGTTAGAATATCATCAAGAACTTGGAGAATTTACTCAAGAACCAAGTGTAAGCTAACCTGAAGCAGCTTGATATCCAGAGACCCAGTTTCCGGTTTGTAAATCGTACATGTGAACGAGCCCGTCCTAGGAAAGAAACAAGACGGGAATAATAAAAGTGTAAAGCAATATAACCATATGTGTGTCGATAGAAGAAAAAAGATTGCTTTGGATCTCTCAAGTTTTAAGGAAAGAAATATCAAGAATACCTGACCACCAGTGCCAAGATGTCGACCACATGGCTCAATATCAAAGAACACACGCTGGTTTGTGTTCTCTGTTGCTCTGTACAATCTGATACACATATAGAAGATCCATTTCAACACAGATCCATTTCAACACAAATTTCATTCATACTTAAGCTTCAACATACCATTTCATCTAGCTAAGACATTTAGTAACCTAAGAATCGATGTAGCATTTTGTTTTTGCTACTCATGGGTCATTAAGCATTCATATTGTTACCACCCCTTGTTTTTGTTTCTAGATTATATTCTTGGAAAACTATAAGCTTAGAAACCCAAAGACAACCCGAAACAAGAGTAAACAAAATACTCACTTATAAACTATCTCAACAGATTTCCGCATATCCCAGCAAAGAATGTAAGGATCCTGAAAAGTGCAAACAAAAAAAAACTTTTTAGTAAGTTTACTACAAACATGATTCATTTTAACATCGTACTTTAATATCTTCGAATAGACGATACTTTCTTCCCCAAGAAAGGGGCTTTCTTAACATAGGAATCAAGCTGGGATAAATATGATCAAGACTACATTTGGAAGGAAAAAAGTTAATAACAGCCTATTACCTTGCGACCTCCTGTATATAAATAGTTACCATCCTTTGAAAACTGGACCTGAAAGAAAGCAAAAGTCCAATTTATGATTTACCATATCCCAACGCACAAGGATAAAGCAAAACTTAAGTGACCCTTGCTTACATGTGTAACACCGCCTTCTTGACCATGTAAGACATACAATAGCTCCATGTTGTCTTCTCTATAAATCCCCGTAGTCTGTCCGTAAGAGCCCACAGCCAACATTCCAGAATTAGTTGGCGAGAAAGCAAGAGTAGATAAAATACCTGGAAATTACAAACCAGTAAAAGCAATCGTTATTGATTATGTACAATCTAATAGTAATAATAATATGCATCGTCAGAGTGATAAACTAAGAACAAACCTGCTTGGCCTTCTTTGTTTCTTTGTAGAGTTGAATACTGCCCAAAATCTCTACCGGGTCGATGAAGATCAAACACTCTTATAGAGCTGTTGTAACCAGCAAAGATCCTAAAGACATAACACAGCCAAATGAATATAGATCATTGTAAATCAAATTCTCTACCATGTGGGAAGATGGATAAAAACTTAATGACGTTTTTGCTTACTTGGTTCCATCAGGATTAAATCCTATTGAGAATGCAGCAGTTATTTCATCCATAGCATCATAGGCTCGGTATGTGCATCGAAGCTGTCATTGTTATATTCATACATAAGTAACGGAATAACCACTAAATGATGGTAGAATAATTCTCCAGTAAACATGTCAAGTTCCATGGAAAAAATCAGCACCTCACCAGAAGAACTATCCCAAAGATGTATTGGATGGTCTCTAGTGGTGGTAGCGAAGACACATGTTAATGGGTCTGAATCAATCAGTAAACAACCAAAATCAGTGATTTACAATGATGAAACCATCAAGCAACATGATGAGTTGAGTTTTAATTATTACCTGAAACTGACATGTATGGATACCAACAGAAATCATAGACAGATTCACCCTCATTCACAAGGAGACTCGCACCATAAGAATCTACAATTCCAAAAATTCGAACAAAAGACATAATAAACACACAATGAATCACAAAATTCCTTCACGTTTATAGCATTTGACATAACATAAATGGCAAAAGCTTACCTTCTTCAGGGATAGGCACTCCAGAGCCATTAGAATCACCTCCATCTTGAGGCCTGAAGGTTACAATTTTACAAAACGAAAAGATTCAACAGAGAACTAAAAAACTACTCAAGCATAGAAAAATTACTAATGCTTAAGATGAGTTTCTTCTACTTACAGATAAAACAGACTAAGGGTATTGTCCTCGGAGCTTGCAAGGAAACACGAACCATCAGGTGACCTGTAAGAAGCAGTACCAAAATCATTACCTCAAAAGTTAAGTAGACGATGAAAAAACCAAACTTTGAGAGAGAACACACCCCTAATCGAGAGAGTGAAAGTGTACCATTTGAGACCCTTGAGGAAATTGTTAGGGTTTCGACCGGTTCTAAACTGCTTAGAGAAATGGTGTGTTCTGTAAGGAGAGACATCGAATCTCATGGTGGGCCATGATGAAGTTTGCTCTCCTGAATCTACCTTAAGTCCGCCATTTTCTTCGTCTACTTCTTCACCCATCGTCTTCCTCGTCGTCGCCGGAATAAATTTTTGGGAAAGTCAAGTAGCAGAGAGGTTTATTAAAATCTCCGAAACCCGAACCGGTATTTCTAATCTCAAACCGGTAATCGAACCGTAAATTCGAAAACCAAACCGAAAACCGGATTAGGTGTTTTTTTATTGAAAATCCCGCCCGGTTTTGTCATTAGTTGCTTCTTTCTTTTCTGCTCCCGGCGGATTCCGGCGACCGTCGTCTTCTCCTTCCGTTTTCCGTTATTCACTCTCTACATCTTTTTTTCTCAAGTTTCTCTAAGTTCCTATAGCTTTACAAGAGACTGAGAATTCCAAAAACCCTTAATTTTTCTACTTTTCGGAAATGGAGAGTGACGAAGGCGAAAGCGTAATTCCTTTCCAGCTTCAGTTTGACAAGCCCGTGCCCTTTCAGGTTTCGTTTCAATTCTGCTCAAATTTCGTGGTTTATTAGACATGGGTATGTGTTCTTTTGGGGGAATTTAGATGGATTCATGTTTGTGTTGCTTTTCGCTGTTTCAATTTCTTTAGATTAAGATAGCTGAGTGGAACCCGGAGAAGGATTTATTGGCAATGGTTACAGAGGACTCAAAGATTTTGCTGCATCGTTTTAATTGGCAGAGATTATGGACTATTTCGCCAGGTAAAACTTTGGTTTATTCACTATGTTTGATTAAAGTAGACGACTTTGAATGCAAGATGGTTTTGATTATGTAACTGGCTCTTAACTTTTGGCTGAAATTGAAAGTGGAATGCAATTGAAGTAGATTATCAAAGCTTGTCAATAGCAGAAGGATTACTCAGTTATTCAGATGTGTTGTGGTACTAAGTTTATTTCCTTTCTTTTGGGTTATTAGGAAGGCCTGTTACTTCGTTGTGTTGGCGTCCTGATGGTAAAGCCATTGCTGTTGGGCTCGAGGATGGAACTATTGAGCTTCACGATGTTGAGGCGAGTTTAGTTTAGAGCTCATTCCATGTTTTCCATGTGAAGTTGTTGACTGACTAACAATTCTTTTTTTGAGCCCTGCTATATCAAACTAGTATTTTTTGCTGGAGGGTCAAAAAGGAACATGCTTATCAGAAAGTGGTTGATGCTTTTTTCATGCAGAACGGCAAGCTATTAAGGAGCTTGAAGCCCCATTCTGTAGCTGTCGTGTGTCTTAATTGGGAGGAGGATGGACAATCCAATACCGTATGTTTTCTCCTCTGATTGGTTGTACAAGAACTCATGTTTGGTTTATGTCATAGGGTATTCTTTCGATTATATCATTATCAAGCAAAGATAAACAAGTATCGTTGACCAATCACAGCTGAAGCATAGATACTACTAGTTTTCTTCCATCCCCAGTCCCCAACTCTCTTTGTCCACGTAAAGAGCTATTTGAAATTTGCTTACGCTTTCGGAGGGTTTGGTTTTCAGGACAAAATTGGGAATTTCTCAGTTTACGAAGACCGGACCTCCCGTTTT